TCTTTACCCACCCGCGTTCAACTGATCCGAGGAGCACTTCCAGTCACTCCAGTCACTCCAGTCACGGACAGCGGCGCAGCGTAAAAAAAAACAACCAAAAAACACCAAAAAATGCGCAACTTACCCCATACTCCGCCGGTATCGATGCTGCTTTTAGTCCGATTCCTCTCTCCAACTCGTAAATCCAGCCTCTCCGCGCGTCCCACGACCGTTTCACGGCGATATCCCGTTGCAAAGTTGAGCTACATGATCCAAAAAAAAAAAAAAAACGTTCGCAAATTACTTCCTTTTCGCTCCGGATTCGCTGTTTCTTCTTCCTCTTCTTCTTTTTTCTCCTCCTCCTCTCCTCGTCTCTGCTTCTTCTCAGTCAGTTGTTGTAGTGCCTTTGTCCGCGCGGAACACGGGGCTCGGGACGCAGACCGCGGGGCAGACACGGCGCGTGTGTCCGTGTGTGTGTCCGTGCGTAATTACGCGCAGGTCACGCGTTTGGAAAGACGCTCGGGGAGGAATGTCGATGAAAAGTGGAGCAGTGAAAGTGGCTCCCCCCCTTCTCCTCTCTCTCTCCTCGTGTCTCTCTCCTTCTTCTCTTCCTCCCTCCCTCCCTCCCTCTCTCCACGCACGAGGATCCCGTTCCATTCAAGCCCAGTTTTCTCCTGACGTAACGGGAGCGGCTCAACAGCGACACCCCGCGGTCATTCTGCGCTAAAACACACCGTAAAACCAAAAAAGAGAGAGAGAAAACTCCTGTCCTCATGTTATAAAATACTTCCAGAGGCGCTAGAGAATCTAAAATAGTACTCAAGTAACGTTACTTCAAAATAAGTACATAAAATATGACCCAAAAAGGTTCTAAAGGTACAAAAAAGAACAAAGCGTTAGACTTAAATTTATTGATCCACAAAGGAAATTATTTAGACACAGGAGCTCACACATCCCAATAAAATATAATAACAAAGAGTAAAAAATATAAATGTAATAATAAATAATAAATAAAGAGCAAAAAAGAGCAAGTAAATACATACAATAAATACGTTTTATTGCACAAAAATAGCACAATAACCGGCGTTGTGACTGTGCCTCTCCACAGATCTGACCTGGTCTGGTTTGTTCTCCAAGACTTAAAGCCACACTGTGAAACATTTCACTTTCAATCAAATCTAACTGTAACTCTCCTCTCATCCTCTGCATCCTCATGTCTTCCTCCTTTCCTCTGCATCCTCCTCTTCTCCTCCTCCTCCTCTTCCTCACATCCTCCTCTCTTCTCATCCTCCACCTCTGCATGCCTCACCTCCTCTGCATCCTCGTCTCTTCTTCCTTTCCTCTGCATCTTCCTCTCCTCTCCTCCTCCTCGCCTCTACTTTTCTCCTCCTCCTCCGCATCCTCTGCTCCTCCTCTCCTCTTCTCCTCCTCCTTTCCTCTGCATCCCCCTCTCCTCTACATCCTCCTCTCTTCCTCCTCTGCTCCTCCTCCTTTTTCTCCTCCTTCTCTTCTCCTCTTCCTCTCTTCCTCTCCTCTCCATCCTCTCCTCTGCATCCTCCTCTCCTCCTCTGCATCCTCCTCTCATCCTCCCCTCATTTTCCTCTGCATCCTCCTCTCCTCCTTTGCATCCTCGTCTCTTCTTCCTTTCCTCTGCAACTTCCTCTCCTCCTCGCCTCTACTTTTCTCCTCCTCCTCCGCATCCCCTGCTCCTCCTCTCCTCTTCTCCTCCTCCTCTCCTCCTCCTTTCCTCTGCATCCTCCTCTTCTCCTCCTCTACATCCTCCTCCTCCTCTACATCCTTCTCTCTTCCTCCTCTGCTCCTCCTTCTCCTTTTCTCCTCCTTCTCTCCTCCTCTTCCTCTCCTCCTCTGCATCCTCTTCTCCTCCTCTCCTCTTCCTCTTCTCCTCCTCTCCTCTGCTCGTCTTCTTCTCCTCTTCTTCTCACAGTTGACTGGCTGGTTCATGGACTCGTAGCTTTACAGTGTCCTCAGTTCCTCCTCTCCTCTTCCTCCTCTCTTCCTCCTCTTCGTCTCACGGTCGATCGCTCCGTTCACGCTCTCTTCTCTTTCGCGTTTGATTCTCTCCGTTCCCGTTTTAGCCTCAGATTCTTCCACATGAGCAGGACGAGCTCAGAGTCCAGTGTGGTGGAAAAGTGTCCTGCTCCAGCTCACGATTAAACCCAACCATTTTACTCCAGTTTATCTTCTTTTCTCTGTCTGTTCCACCTTGTGATGTCACGTGGTGAAACAGAGAAGTGTTTTTAAAGTCCACACACCTTCACTAGAATCACCTGGATCATTTCAGTCCTGGTTTGAGGAGGAAACAACATTAGAACATTAGACTTGAAGCTCACAAGAGTCGATTTTGCGTAATATTCGACCTTAAACTAAATCGTTTTCTTCTTTAAAATCAGGACTCGGGTCGTTTGGGGCGGCAGGTGTCACCTGTCACCTGGATTACTCAAAAACTGTATAAAAACAATTCAACACGAGATTAAAAAATAAAAAGGTTTGACTGTTTCTCGTGGAACAAAGCGGCAGAGAAGCGAGATCAAGTCTTTGACCTCAAGTCCAAGTCAAGTCCAAGTCGAGACTCAAGACCTTGGCCCATAAGTCCAACTCAAGTCTAGAGTCAGTGACCCATAAGTCCAACTCAAGTCCAAGTCAAGTCTCGAGTCACTGACCCGTAAGTCCAACTCAAGTCCAACTCAAGTCTAGAGTCAGTGACCTGTAAGTCCAACTCAAAAGTCCAAGTCGAGTCTCAAGTCACTGCAAGTCCAAGTCAAGTCTCAAGTCACTGACCCGTAACTCCAAGTTAAGTCCAAGTCGAGTCTTGAGATCTTGGCCCAGAAGTCCAAGTCAAGTCCAAGTTAAGTCTCGAGTCACTGACCCGTAAGTCCAACTCAAGTCCAAGTCGAGTCTCAAGTTACATGCCCGTAAGTCCAAGTCAAGTCCAAGTCCAGGCACGAGTCTCTGGCCCATAAGTCCAACTCAAGTCCAAGTCAAGTCTCAAGTCACATGCCTGTAAATCCAAATTAAGTCCAAGTCGAGTCTTGAGATCTTGGCCCTTAAGTCCAAGTCAAGTCCAAGTCCAGGCATAAGTCTCTGGCCCATAAGTCCAAGTCAAGTCCAAGTCGAGTCTCGAGATCTTAGCCCATAAGTCCAAGTCAAGTCCAAGTCATCAGCTTTGAGCTTCAAGTCATTTCAAGTCTTTAGATTTTTGCAATTTATATGAATTTTAAACTAAATTGTTCTTTTTTTTGAGGAGAAGCATCACGTCTTCTCAAGTCACTGACCTTCAAGTCCAAGTCAAGTCCAAAGTCTTAGTCCAAAAGAAAGAAAGAGAGAGAGAAAAGAGAAAAAGAGAGTGAATGAGAGGGAAAGAGAGAGAAAGAGGAAGAAGAAGAGGAATGGAGAGACAGACTGAGAGAGAAAGAAAGACAGACATACAGAATGAATGAGAAAGAAGAGAGAGAGAGAGAGAGAGAGAGAGAGAGAGAGAGGAATGGAGAGACAAAAACTGAGAGAGAAAGAAAGTGTGAGAGAGAAAGAAAGAAAGAGAGGATTTACATTACACACACAAACTATTTACACTTTAAACAACAGCTGAGAGAAAAAGGAGAGAGAGAAAGACAAAGAGAGAAAGAAGGAGAAAGAGAAAAAGAGCGAACTCATAATCCAGAGACGAGTGTCAGGCCAAGTTACAGGTCAGATCTGTGGAGAGGCGACCCCGCTCACAGTCAGAATGTTTCTTTTTTAAGGTATTTTTGAGTTATAAATCCACCTGTAATTGAATAAATGTAAAGTAGAGCTGTTTAATGTCACATTGTGGGACATTCCAGACAGAGCAATGACGTATCCATAGAAACAAAAAGGCGACGGACCCCAAACCGACAAGTTACACAGTGCATCTTTAAGAAAAACAGTAAAAAGCTTAAATATAACACTTTCTCTCTCATTTCTAATGTTTATTTTATTTTATTTTTATTTACATTTATTTAACTTTTTAAATTTTATTTTATTCATTTAACATTTTATTTATTTTAACGTTTTATTTAACATGTATTATTTTATTTTATTTATTTTACATTTTATTTATTTTAAGATTTTATTTAACATTTGTTTATCATTTTTAAATTTTATTTATTTTACATTTAATTTAACATTTATTAAACTTTTTAAAATTGTATTTATTTAACTTCTTTATTTTATTTATTTAACTTTTTAAAAAAACATTTTCCTTATTTAACATTTTATTTAACATTTATTCAACATTATTTTATTTTATTTATTTAACATTTATATAACATTTTTTATTGTATTTATTTTAATAGTTTATTTAACATTTATTTAACATTTATTTATTTTATTTTATTTTAACTTTTTTTTATTTATTTTTTATTTTATTTATTTTAACATTTTATTTAACATTTATTTAACTTTTTTATTTTATTTATTTTAACATTTTATTTAACATTTATTTAACTTTTTTATTTTATTTATTTTAACATTTTATTTAACATTTATTTAACTTTTTTATTTTATTTATTTTAACATTTTATTTAACATTTATTTAACATATTTATCCCGTACGTCACCGCTAGAGGGCAGAGCTGCGTCACGAAACAGCGTCTTACGTCATCACCTCGCGACCTCAGACCACGCGGATGTTTTCTCGGAGCCGTTCGTGATGTTCGTGACGGGTTCATGTGAAAATCTTTGCGCTTTTCTGACCCGCGGATCGTGTTTATTTACATTTTACCTCCGTGACATTTAAAGACGTAAAGTATGCTTGAGTCTTCGTGAGTTTGGTGCGTAAACTCGGTGAGCATGAGTGAGTTTTCGGCGCTGGGTTTGTCGGAGTGGCTCGTGAAACAATGTGTCCAACTCGGGATCAACAAACCCACCGCCGTGCAACAAAACTGTCTGCCCCCCATTCTGCACGGTAAAAGTCACATTATTTTTACATTTATAGTATTTTACATGGTTAAAAATTGATTATTTTTACATTTATGTCATTCCACAGGGTAAAAATCTGATTATTTTTACGTTTAAAATGTTCTACAGGGTAAAAGTCTAATTATTTATACCATTCTGCAGGGTTAAAATCTGTTTATTTTTTGTTTATACTATTTTACATGGTTAAATTTGGTTATTTTTTATATTATGCCATTCTGCAGGGTGAAAGTCTAATTATTTTTTACATTTATAGTATTTTACAGGGTAAAAAAAATGTATTTATACCACCTTACAGGGTAAAAGTTAGATTATTTTTACATTTATACTAAAAATCTACTTATTTTTACATTCATTCCATTCTGCAAGGTAAATATCTGTTTATTTTTTATATTTATATCATTGTACAGAGTTTATTTTTACATTTAAAACATTCTACAGGGTAAATATCTGTTTATTTTTACATTTATACTAAAAATCTACTTATTTTTACATTCATTCCATTCTGCACGGTAAATATGTGTTTATTTTTACGTTTATATCATTCTGCAGGGTAAAAAAATATGTTTATTTTTTATATTTAAAACATTCTACATGGTTAAAATCTTATTATTTTTATATTTATACTATTTTACATGGTTAAAATTTGATTATTTTTACATTTATATCATTCTACATGGTTAAAATCTTACTATTTTTATATTTATTCCATTCTACATCGAAAAATCTAATTATTTTGTACATTTAAAACATTCTACAGGGTTCAAATCTGTTTATTTTTACACTTATTCCATTTTACAGGATAAAAATCAGATTATTTTTACATTTAAAATATTCTACAGGGTTAAAGTCTAATTATTTATATCATTTTACAGAGTTTAGTTTTACATTTATACCATTCTACAGGGTTAAAATCTGTTTATTTTTACATTTATACTATTTTACCTGGTTAAAATTTGATTGTTTTTATATTTATACCATTCTACAGGGTAAAAGTCTGATTATTTTTTATATTTAAACTATTCTACAGGGTAAAAATCTGTTAATTTTTTATATTTATACTATCTTACATGGTTAAAATCTGATTTTTTTTTTTAAAGATATATACTATTTTTCCTGGTTAATTTTATATCTATACCATTCTACAGGGTAAAAATGTATTTATTTTTACATTTAAACTATTCTACAGGGTGTAAATCTGATTATTTTTACATTTATACCATTCTACAGGGTAAAAGTCTGATTATATTTATATTTAATACCATTCTATAGAGTTTAGTTTTACATTTAAAACATTCCACAGGGTAAAAATCTGATTATTTTTATATTTATAGTATTTTACAGGGTTATTTTTTACATTTATAGTATTCTACAGGGTAGAAATATGATTTTTTTTTTTTATATATTTATAAAAATATTTTTATATCTATAACAATGTTATATATAAACTGGACTGTGATCAGATAATTGACGAGTCTTAGTATGTGCCTTAAACATGTTTTTTCTTCTTCTTCTCTCAGGTCGGGATGTTCTGGGCTGCGCTAAAACAGGAAGTGGGAAGACAGCGGCGTTTGTCCTTCCCGTCCTGCAGAAACTCTCCGAGGATCCGTACGGAATCTACTGCCTCGTCCTCACGCCGACCAGGTCAGATCTGCGGAGGAGGGGGGTGATGATCCGGGGGGGAAGATGCAAATTGTGGTTTAAAATAATGAAAATCTGGTTCACACAATCCAAAATGCTTATAAATTTAAACTGAGTCATATTTTGGATTTGTGCGGGGACCAAATAAACTGTATTATTATGTTTTTTTCTCGCATCTATTGAACTGTATTTGTGTGTTTTCGTTCAGGGAGCTGGCGTATCAGATCGCAGAACAGTTCCGAGTCCTGGGGAAACCTCTGGGGTTGAAGGACTGTATCATCGTCGGAGGAATGGGTGAGACTCACACTCCTCACACTCGCTCATATCATTTGTGTGTGTGTGTGTGTGTGTGTGTGTGTGTGTGTGTGTGTGGTTGTGTGTATTATCATCAGTCTTGGAGAACTTTCTCATTTTTGCTCATTACTCATTCTACTACGTCTTTAAAAGTAATTCCTTACTTTAGTAAAAGTCACTTTTTACGTTACTCGTTTCTTTGGTTAAAAGTTGTATAGAGGATTTTTTAAGGGAAGAGAAATACAGCGACAGTCCTTTTTCACATGTTGTGCATGTGTGACACCACCTTCCTCAGTAGAAACACCTCCTCCCACCTTCTTACTCTAGATAATAATAATAATGATAATTTAGCGACCGACGCATCAGTTTTTAGACCCTTTTTAGACAAACTTTGTGTAAACTGCGAGGAAGCGACAGTTTGAAAAAGCCTCTAAGAACCGCTGTATAAACCACATAATCCCCGCGCGCCGACGAGTCAGTTACACTAGAAACGTAGGGAGTTTGATTGACAACCTAATAGCCAATAGAAAATGAGGTAGCCTTCTTTTCTATTGGCTGATGTTTATCTGGCCTCAACACATCCACAATTGATAGATTTTCTTTCTTTTTTTTTTTTTTTTTGGTCATCATAATTACAAGGCTGCTGTGTCTTTATAATGGTATTTTAAACTTTCACTGACAATTGAAAACAAAACAAAAAATCCTCCATACAACCTTTACTTTTTGGTGGTAAACTCCATCTGAGGTTAAATACAGCACAAGACCGACAGTCGACAAGAATCATTAGAGAAAGTTGAAAAGAACTTTGACGAGAGAGTTCAAGAGGACGTGAAACCATTAAGAGGGTCCACAGAGTCACGCGCAGAAAAGTAAAGTTGCACCGAAAGGAAAAAGGAACAACGCTTCTTTACCGATGCTTCTTTACCAAATTTTCAGAAGTAGCACGTTACACTATTTAAAAAGTATTTACGTTACACCGAACACTGATAATAATGATGATGATGTTCCCTTGTAGACACGACTCAGGCTCTGGAGCTCTCGGCTCTGTGTTCTGGTGTAGTTGTGTGTGTGTGTGTGTGTCTTTTGTGTTTTGTTTGTGTGTTTTGTTGTGGTTGTCTGTTTGTTTGTTTGTCTGTTTGTTTGTTTGTCTGTTTGTCCTTTGTTTGTCTGTTTGTTTGTTTGTCCGTTTGTTTGTCTGTTTGTTTGTCTGTTTGTTTGTCTGTTTGTTTGTTTGTCTGTTTGTTTGTTTGTTTGTTTGTCTGTTTGTTTGTTTGTTTGTTTGTTTGTCTGTTTGTTTGTTTGTTTGTCTGTTCTGTCTGTTTGTTGTCTTGTTTGTTTGTTTGTTTGTTGTTTGTTTGTTGTTTGTCTGTCTGTTTGTTTGTCTGTTTGTTTGTTTGTCTGTTTGTTTGTTTGTCTGTTTGTTTGTTTGTCTGTTTGTTTGTTTTGTTGTTTGTCTGTTTGTTTGTTTGTTTGTCTGTTTGTTTTTTGTTGTTTGTTTGTTTGTTTGTTAGCAACATAACTCTGTTTGTTTAAAAAGTTATGGACCGATTTTGATGAAATTTTCAGGATTTGTTGGA